TAAAAGCCGGAAACTAAGAAATATGCTGCTAGAAACAGTGCTGAACTAATGATACTGAATAAACATTTTGATTCCATAGAAAGTAAACAGTGGAATCTAGAATCATTTCATTGAATTAAGGATTAAGGGTTATTGTCCTCTATATTAACATTCCTAATTGAAAACAAACAAAAAAATTAACTATTTATTCATTAAAAACAATATACCAATCCAAAGCAGAAATATTTATAGATGGAAACATGAAGAAATCAAGTGGGTGGAATTTTTTGTCTGTCAGTGTATAAGAAGGGAGATAACAGTGACTGTGGCAATCATCGAGCTATATCACTCCTTAGTGTGCCCAGTAAGATATACTCGAGAATCCTAGAGGTAAGAATCAGAAAAATGAAATTTTATTCTAGGGTAGAGTGCTATCAGTGAGTAGTTTCTTAACAAGTGTTTTCATGTTATCACATTTACTGAATGTATTTTTTTCATAATACAGTTGTAAATATCATAAATAAATAATAATAAAAAATAATTCTAGGTCATTCAGCCTCCAAGAATAATTATAATGAACAATTAAGTGACATTTATCTGGCATACAAGTTAATCATCTTCTTGTTGTTAATTAAATAACATTTGAATTATCGGTAGATGTATAAGAGTGCGTCAACACATAGACAATGGGTAATATATAGGTATCTGTAAGAAGACAGTGAAATAAGTTGACATCCCAAAAAAACATAAAAATATTACTCCTACATATATTCGGAAGATTGATTGCTGAGGAGACGGATAAATAAACGCTATTTAAATGTGGATAAGGATGAAGATTTGCGTATGAAAGTAAGTAGAGAATTGCAAAACAAGATATCACCTATAAGAAAAGATTTTATAAAGGAAATAGTTCTCTGAGAAGGAATAAACAGGTATGTGGGCTGGGATCTCGTGCTAAAAGTATGGACAGAGGAGCAAAGAGTAAATAGATCAAGAAGGTAAGAAGGTTTTTTATCCATACAAGGTCTTTGACCGGGTTTGGAAAAAAGGATATTGTTGATGCTCTGGTAAAGAAAGGAGTAAACAACGAACTCAGTAGGGCTGTAAGCAGTCTGTACAATAGAACAAGGAATCTGATTAGAACAAGTAACCATACATCTCCAGAATTTAAATCAACGCAGGGCATAAGTTGCAGCCTGGGTCCTCTTCTACTTGCATTTTTCTCGATTTGGCGTTGCGAAAAGCAATAGAGAAGGTGCGGAACTTTCACTTGATTCACAGAGCTGTGGGGCCTACTGTTTACTCCCTTTTTGCTTTTGCTGAAAACCTTTTCATATTGGCCCAGAATGGCTGTGATCTCCAAAACAATATTAATGCCCTCAAGGAAGAATAGAGAGCGATTAGTATCAAAATCAACATCGATTAAACGAAATGCATGCGTATTGGAAGGAAACCTCACAGGGTTATGAAGCTATTGAGGTTCGATGGTGAGAATTTAGAACAAGTTGATAGTTTTAAATACTTTGGAGCTCAAATCAACGAAAGTGGATTTATACAGATCAGAAGTATGTTCTGGTGAGGAGGATAGGCGTAGAATTTCCATTTTGATTGGAGGAGGAGGGCGAAGAACTAAAAAAATAAAGAAAATAAAAATTTACTAGCTCATAAATAACAAAAACATTGTGAAACGAGCAAATATAATATTGAATACTTAAAAATAAATTTATATATTTGTTATAAAGTATAGACATTTTTTATGTGCATATAGATGTACTTGAAAATATCTAAACAAAACAATTAGATGTATTACAATTTGTATCCATTAAACATGAAAAGAAGGGAGACAGTATTCATAACATAGATACAACTCTATACCTTTTCCAGCTAAAAATGAATAATGTTAAAAAACGAAAAATATTTATGATTTCTTAGTTTGCACAGCCTTAAAATAAAAATACAATGTTTTCACAGTCTAACTAATTATGTAAAAATAGCTATAAAAATATTCTCTATACAATACTTTTATACTTATACTTATTAAATATATGTTTTCCAAATTTATCGTAGACGATTTATAATAAAATCACGTAGAAATGGAGGTGTGCACGTAACACGTGAATTAATCATAAAATCCTAGGAAATGTTTCTATATAACCATCCCTGAATATAAATGAAAATTGAAATAATAGGAATATTTAGATCGTGATAAAATAGTTACTTACCTACTTAAAACCTTAGTCTAGCCAGATAGTCGAATTTTCTTAATCGATTTTGGTTTAAATATTGTATTTTATTCATTCATGTATCTTATCTGTAAACAATTTTGATTTTTTAAAAATCAAATTATTAGGGAAAAGCAGCTATATTCTCGCCCCCTCAACATTTTTATTCGTGAGACGCTCCCACTTAGTCTGCGCCTATGTTGAGGAGAGGCTTCCTAAACCGAAGAGAGGTTTCAAAGAACGAAGATGGTGGCAATCGTAACAAACTCTTCTGAGTCTTGGACAATAAGTTCAAAGCACAGGAGTCAAGTTCAGTCCTTGGAGATGCGATACTTAGTGAAGGAGGAAAGGGAGAACAGGCAAGACAGTATTCGCAAATAACATCCATGCCAATCTCGAGGTCAAGCCAGCGGAAACCATTCTAAAAGAAAGAAAATTAAGATGGTTTAGCCACCTTCTACGGATGGTTCGGTGCAGAGTCGCAAGGAAGACCTACGAGACTCGAGTGCCGAGGAAAAGACCAGAAGAAAGATCCCGAATCTCCAGTGAAGAAAGTGTGCTAGATGCGTTTCAGAGGCGAGGGTTGGAATGGAACAGGAGAGCCGGCGCAGGAGAGGTCCACCTGGTCCAACATTTATAATAGGTAACCTCACACCGCCTAAGCGGTAAAGAAGAAATAGAATAAGAGATGAGATTGTGTAAATATATGTATATATATGTTAATACACACACACAGACATGCATGTATATGTATAAATCAGTAAAACACTCACCAAGAGATATAAATTCTATGTTAGGTCATCTCTTCGGTTTGATTTTCTCTTATATCCCTGATGATGCTTGAATTGGCTGCATTTTGAATATATAAGGCTGTGGTATTAGAATTGTTCAAATTATAACCTACATATTACAAACATGGATTTAAATATTTAACGATATTTTCACAAAAAATATTCAATATTTTTATTTATATATAAATACAAAAATAACACATTAAGTTCACCATTTTGATATACACAGGACACTATTTTTAATGTTATTTAACAACCATATTTTATTCACAAAGAGGAATAGAAAATTTTAAAAAGACAATGGTCTGATAGTTTCTAAAACTTATTAGTAATCCGGTAAGAAGTTTATTAGTAATAGCTATGTAATAAACATTAATACCTCTTTTCATATTTTTTAAGATATCCATAGTGCTTATATAAACATCAAACATAAAGGGGTTAAGGTGAATGTACCATTAATAGACACTGTACGGGTAAGAGACAATTTCAAACTCAGTAACAAATAATAAGTTTTATACAATCTATACATAGTGCAAACACAAGTAGATTTGTAGCTATAACAGTTAACACGAAATTTACAATAACAGATTTACACACAAACACTAGATATTCATTTCAGGGAGGTTTCCTTATCACTTTTCTTTAAGAGATCTTTAAAATTTTGATTTATTTATCTGAAATTTAACATTACCTAGTTTAAAACTGTAATAAGTCGAGGGTTTGTTAAACTTTAATAATCTCAAGCCACGTCGGTTCGGGAAGGGTTGAAATAACTGGTGGCTCAAGAAATAAATCTCGACCTTACCATTATGGTTTAAATAGGTTTGGTTGCACCTCTAGAAAAACTCCACCCTCTGTATGCCAGAAATAGCGAGGTAGGGAGTTATCGGGAAAAAGTAAAAAAAATTGTCGATTTTTAAAACTTATTTTTATCTATATAAAAGAACCTATGAATTATGCGAGTTCTGAATTTCTAAGATTTTTCATGAATAATTAATTAATTGACTTTATAAAAAGAGGAAAAAATGGTTAAAGACTAAATTTGCAACGATTCCCAGTCAGGACTAAAGCTGTGGTTCACATTAATGCTAAAAATTTCTCTAAAAGTGTCTATTACTGGAATATTTACCTTTTTTTTTCTTTTTATAACACATTAGGTCTATGGAATAATTCTGTCTTATTATATACAACTACTAATTGCCTTAACTATGATGATTATGTCTTATTTTCGTGAGTAAATTTCATTACAATTACAACAACACACGGTAGGTACTAATGATTTGTGCTTTGAATAATTACGAATTAGACCGATAATCGTTTCACTTCATTTATGATAAATGCCACAATAATTAATTATTGAACTTAATTCCAACAAGATGGCAACGCCTTAATGTTTAAAAAAGGTTAATTAAACATTATGCCCCAGCACAAACTCTTTGAAATTTCATAATATAAATATTCTTTTAATAACAGATCAAGAGTTGTAAACAACTTCATTTAACATGATTTTCAAAAATATACATTTTTTGTCAATTTATATAAAAAAATATGATTTAATACGAATGCTAACATATAAAACAATATACCATGTTCAAATATTTTTCAATTTCAAATTTCTATAAAAGTTCATATAAATGTCAGAATTAATGATTCACTTGAGAAACAGAGGTGAGAATATGACTAAACGCCAATGCAATAACAATATTGTACTCATGGGGAGGCACAGTGCACAGTAGTATAGTAATAAAAAGTATTAACTGCTGAGTGACCTGACTGACTCATGAGTTAATTTTTTTTCATTGTTTTTTTTTGCCTGTTTTCGATTTACACAGTGCTCTCCGAACTGAGATACAAGACTGTAATTATAAGGTACATAATTGGTAATTAAATCACCAGCAACAGGAAATATATATACTGCTCTGCAGCATGGCTCAATCAGAAAAATACTACTTGGATAAAGAGATATTTAAAATGTACTTTCTCAGACCCGATTAAGGACTCTAATAGATTACACAGAAGCGCGCTTAGCCAAAGCCAACGACGGAAACTGTGATGCCATCGCGGCCGAGTGGGCCAGGCAATTACAAGAGCAAATGGAAGTTTGATCCGGGAAGCCCATAGCCAATATCTTGCCGTTCAACGCGACAATGTCTCCGTTCAATGCTTGTTCGCAAGAATCATGGCTATCGTCTGGTTCGTCTCTTCTCACATCTTCCGCATTCCTGAAAAGAAGAATATAATTTAATAAAGTAAAATTAACATAATTAAAGTTAATAGGATGTATAGATCAAGAATTGTTAAAACTAGTTACAAATAACAATGAAAAAACATGTCAAAGTTCAATCTTAAACAAACCATTATAGTTTTTCTATTTATAACCACTGTAACAAATAAGTCCTCATAGCGAATATTGAAGAAGTATGCTTTGGCGAAAAAAAATGGCCGATGGAAATTGGCTATGGTGATCAGAACGTCAACTTTAAAGGTGTATGATTAACAATTATCTAGTTCATGGTCATTGAAATAAAATGTATAAATCGTATAGCACATATCTATATGAAAAGAAACATGGCATAACAAATCTATTGCCGCCATGTTGGTTATTAATCTAAAGTGGTATAGATCGAAGTGGGTAAAATGCACTTTCTTCTTTTTTGGGGAAATTTTCTTAGCTTAGAAGTTCCAATAAATACGTATAGTACTGTAAGATGGGATAACTATGGGACTAGGTGGGTAACTTTGGTTCAGCGGGTAAAATTTAGGTTGTGGTGTTTCCGTGGTGGATGCACTGTGTTGGTTCAGTCTGCATGGACAGCGCATTTACTACGCTACTATCTTGTGGCACACTACTCGTGAGTCACAAGCGAAAGTTTCATGGAATCAGAATTTTGAAAAAAGCAATGGAACTAAATAAAATGTAATTGCACAACGAATGTGCGAACTAGGGTTCTCATACTAGCAAGGCAGTAGCACAGTATATGCCTTCACAAAGCACGTATTTGCAGACTGAACCAACACAGTGTATCCACAGCTGAATCACCAAAAACTAAATTTTACCCGTAGTCCCAAAATTACTCACCCATTCCCAAAGTTACCCCATCTTACGGTACCCATTATTTCTTTCAGAAATACAATAGTAAAGTAAAATTACAATATAGGCGTAGAGAAGATCCTCCAAACGTGCAGAATAAAGCAATAATATTAAAAATTGTTAATATAAAATAATAATTTAAAAGGTAATACTTACATAGTCATGAACCGAAGTACAAGTAGATTGATGCTGGCAGCAACAACAGCAAGCCCAAACAGGATGAAGACTAAACTTAACGCAACATAACCTGGTTTATGTATGAGCGCCTGATCATTCTAGAAAAAAATAATTACATTATAAAAACTATCCGTCTATTATATAAAATAGTTTTAGTGACTTTCATACTTAATTTTATTTTATTATTAGGAGAGTAAGAGAATTACATGAACTCTCCTATTAGCTCTAAAATTATCAATAATTATACAACCGTTCTTTTAATTATATATTATTATTATTTTATTTATTTATTTATTTATATATACATTACAAGATGTCAAAATGATAAATTCCATGTTTGTGGTTGCAGTACCCTTGTACATGACATATTAGTGGTATGAATGTTGTTTAGTAGATTGAAATCCATTTTATACAGTAGGAAAACCTCATAAAAAAACTACATAAGATATAAAAGAAAACTAGATTATAATCCTTAAAATTACAAGAAAAACAAAATATAATTTACGTACATAAGAAAACTATATATATAATTATACATACTTATAGACACACATACATGCACACATATATACACATACACACACATCCTATAAATATACACACACGTCCTATAAATATAATTTATTAATTGGGGTGATAGTGTTTATTGTTATTTGTTTGTTAATAGAGAAGAATCCGTTAAATTGTCGTAAATAAACAAACAGATTGATTTAGACGTTTAGTAGTATGTGTTAGTCCGTCTGTGTGTGTACCGTTTCAAAGATGTCTTGTCATAGTTTCCTATTGTTCGGATCATAGGACCATCCAGATAATTCTGAACAAAAATTACAATACTTGGAGGCACTTTATAAATCAGATAGCCTTGATAGGGTGATACATTTTAAAACTGATTCAAAGAATTTAAATAATATAAATATCGCGAACAAACAATAAGATTAATAGACGTCAGATCAGATTATTTCTTAATCTATCAACTGGCCTTAATTAATCAATCTGGCCAAAAACTAACTTAATAAATATTCGAACAATATATACAACAACTTAAATCGTTTCTCTACTGGGTTTAGCCCCAGTGACGCAGTTGAGAGAGAAGTGCAGGGAACTCCTGGAGTCATGCTTTTCCCTCCACAGTTGGAGAGATAAGTTTAGCTCGGAGTTCTCTCGCCTGATTGTAAATAGTGTATAAAGTTATGTATGTGTTCTTTTTTATTTATTTACTTTTAGGTTATTGTATACTTATTTATTGTATATATATTATTATTATTGTAAATAGGCTGTGAATGTGATCTCTGAACACTATTATAAATGTCCTCTGAGATAGATTGTAATATTTTCAATAAAAAAGTAAAATCTTCTCAACTATACTTATAATTGTACTGGAAAAAATAACATAAGCAATTTTTCTTAACCATCACGCTCCTCTTAAAACCCGTACTTTTAGAGGTCCTCATGCTCCTTGGATAAATTCAGAAATTAGAGAGTTGAAGAGAAGAAGAGAGGATGCCAGAAGACGATACAGACATACACGACTGGTCCAACACTATAGTATCTTCAAATCCTTACTAACATACAAACATCCTTACGCCGAAGTGCAATACTTTATCAATGTACTATCCCAAGCTCCTAATCCTTAATCCAAATGGACAATACTCAGGAACCTCTCTGTCATCAGCTCCAAAACTGTGACTATAGGCGTGTCAAATAAAGTACATATTTACTGATCCGAAAGCGGGAGTATTTTTTTTTTTTTTAGAGTAGTGGATAGAAATGTATAAAATTGATAAACACTTAATTATCTCTTAACCAATCTCTAACTTTCCTCCAAATTTTAGCCAAATCGAATGTGCAGTTTTAGAGATATAGAAGTATCAAAGAAAAAAGCGTTTGCGCATATATAAGAAAAAGTAAAAAAACAGATTTCAATGAAATTGATACTGCCTTATTTTTTTATTAATACCGATATTTTTTCTAACTTTAAGCCAAATTGAACGAGCAGTTTCTGAAATAATGGTACATATAAAAAAATACATCTGCGCGTGCGTAAGCGGAAGCGCTACATGGAATTTGATGAAATTGATGTTGGACCATCGGATAAATGGTAGTAGTAGAAATGCCCGTTACATCGATTTGACTACAGACAGACAAACGCCGAATCAAATTTGATCCTAGATGCCTGAAACGTAAAACGCGAGTGGAAATTTTCGATTCTGAGCATGTCATTTTTTTTTAACCTCTCGCACGAACACAATGCTTCCATACCTTCGGTAGTGAGGAAGCAATGATATTCAAAATGAAATTTTTAGAATCTCGGTTTAATAAGGTCATAAGCCCGATATATCTGTCTTTACTCAAATTTGTGTTTATTGTGATCCGTTGACGGTTGTTTTGAATATTTATTAGCAATAAATATAATATTCAAAGTGAAATTCTTAGAATCTTGATAAAATAAGGTCGTATGGCCGATATATCGGTCTTTGGAATGTCAATATATATGTCCAAATCAGAGTAAGGAGAGGGCAAGAAAAAAATAAAGAAAAATTTGCCTAACTCTATCAATCCCGATAAAGTAAGGATATAAGGCCGATATATCTTTCCTCAAATCTAGGTTAATGTTGATCCCTTTATGAATGATTGACACATTTATTGGCAATAAAATAAAATTCAATGTGAAAGAGGTGGATATATCGGTAGAGTAAAACTCGTTGAATTGTGATAAATTAAGGTTTAAAGGTCGATTTATTAGTAAAAAAAAAATTAGATGAGGTGCCAAAAAAAACAAACAATAGTCAATTTCTACTCATCTTGATAAAATAAGGACGTAAAGCCGATATATAGGTCTTTGAAGTATCGGTATCGGTATTAAAAAAATTGTCAAAAACTATAAATATGATTGCGCGGCCGATATATTAGTCTTTGGAATATCTGCTCAACTTATGGAGGAGTAGAACCAAAGAAATACATAAACAAATAAATAAAATGATGAAGCTCTAATAATCTCGAAAAATAAGAACATAAGGCCGATAAATCGGTCTTTAGGATATCCGTACTTGCTGAAAATCGGGGGTGAAGTTAAGTAAAAAAAAAAAAAAAGCCGATCTACCGGCGTTTGATATTGGCCAATGCCGATCTATTCAGCATTTGGAAAAATCCTACTGATTTATAACTTATAATAATAATAAAAGGCTTAGCGAATCCGAAGGTTTTTACCATTTGGTTTTTACCTCGGAAGTTTACCATTTGGTTCAGCAAATACCAACCTTATGAGAATTCTTTCGTTACAAAAAATCAGGGGTGCCCAGAAGGGGGTTTCATCAAAATTTTTGAGGGGGCATATTTTGACGAGGTTATGAATTTTCAGACTAAGGCTCTTGTCCCTTAGACAAGATAGGTTATCATAAACCCATTTGAGTTTCTCGTAAAATTCGCATTTGTTTTCATCATTAATGTCTTTGGTCGGACAATGTATGTTTATTAACGCGATTTTAAACCAACGTCCCTGAAATATAGCTACCGAAATTATTTAATTTAAGAACAGCACTTCCCTCAAAGCGGATAGCAATCTATTCAAACTCCTTACATTCCATGTACTAAATGAATATTTTTCAACTTTCGCCATGAATCCCCTAAAGCAGTCCCCACCCGAAGACCCGAACGGGGGACTAGTTTACCTCCGGATAGTGAACATTTTACCATAGGGAGTTCCATGACTATTTTGGTGTATAGTGAACTAAAGATATGTGAGTAGGGCGTTCAATCCTAGGTCACACCTTCCAGTAAGTCTAGAGAGCCCCTCTCATTGTTGGTGTGAGAGTCCATTGGACATAGCTGGGAGGAACTTACAAGGAATTTCCACCGACCATCCCTTCATCCGCCACCCGTGGGACGCTCCCCATACGCGGTAATGAGCCCGCGCGAGGCCAAGAGTATAGTAGTACTAGATTAAGAAGCCAATTCCGTTATTCAGTCGAATCATCTCTTTTTAACCAAAATATTTAAAATAACAAACAATTCTCATAAATATTCATAAAATTTAATTGTGCCTTACTTGAATAGGGGCAAAAAAACAAAACAATGTCAAAGGCGGAAAAAGCTGGTTTTTTTGTCACAAAATCGTTGTGTAATGTCTAAAATTCCAAAAGATGAATTATTTAGAATATTGTACTTCTTACAGCTTTTATTTTAGATTTCTACTGCTGCTATTTTAGATGTAAAATGGGGTTATTTGAATGAAGGGAAGTAAAGTACTAAAGTATTGCATGTTTATTATTTCAATATTTGTATATTGATTATGATGACAATACATCTAAATTTAGTAGGCTTTACAACAAAGAATTGTGGGATATACTTCCCGCAATTGAACTAGGCGATTAAATATTGTGTGTCAAGAATCACTAAATTTGTGATTACTCAAATAACTGGCAACATTTTGAGGAAGTAAAGCATGACATAGATGGGAGAATAAGGTAATGCCTAATCCTGCGGAATATGGGTTTAGTATAGAGAGTTATCTAGGCAGTTGCCTATCAACATTGTATTAAGCCACATGATTTTACACTAAAACTGTGTAAATAATGTTACATACAATTGTTTTCTTTATTTTTATATATATTAAAGTGCTACCAATGGGTAGTTTCTCAACATGTGTTCCATGTCATTATATCCATGTGCGAATTTACCAGATGTATTTTTTGTATACAGTTGTAAATATCATATAAATAAATAATAAAAAAATATATTTTTATATAATAATTCATATATAGATATAAAGGCTTACCTGCAAAGCTACGTAATCTCCGAACCCAATAGTTGTCAAAGTTACAAAGCAGTAATAGAAAGAATCAAAATAACTCCATCCTTCATATCTGGAAAACATGGCAGCTCCTGTAGTTATAATAACCGAGGAAAGCATCCCTGTTGCCATCATGAGGTTGATTTCTGTAGCTTCTGTTTGATGGCAACCGAAGTAGCGTTTAGCTCGTTTGATCACGACTGATGCAAACTTGTTTAGCCTCTCACCTATGCTCTGAAACATGACCAGGCCCAGCGGTATCCCTACAATCGCATAAGCCATGCAGAATGCCTTCCCTCCTATCGTTACCGGTGTTGAGTGTCCATAACCTGACAAAAAAAAAAGAACATTTTTTATTACAATACAGTTGGACAATTAAATAAACTTATTTTGTAAAAATTATGATATAATATAACAATTTTGTTTAGTATATATGTAATCCATAAGCTGAATAATACGTTGTAATCAAACTGACTTGTAGTCCCCTTTCTTTTCGAGGTCATCTAGTATTTTATTGTACATAATCTCAGAGCAAAAAGAACACCGTAAGATAGAGTAACTTTGGAACTGGGTGGGTATCTTTTGGACAGCGGGTAAAATTTAGTTTGTGGTGATTCCATGGTGGATACCCTGTATTGATTCAGTCATGGACAGCGCAAGTACTGCGCAACTACTTAAGTTTCAGGAAAACAAAAATTTTGAAGAAAAAAAAAGTAATGGAAGTAAATAAAACCTGACTGCACAACGAGCATAGTGAACTAGGGTTCTTCCATCCAACAAAATTTATTTCACCTAAGTTTTTGTCATATATTTCAAAATTTTGGAGTAAATCATTCCTCATATAAAATTTTTAATTTTTAAACAAACAGAAAAAAATGTTTCTAGTTTTAGATGAAATTTGATTTTTTTGTTGTAATTTATTGTCTTTTAAGATTATTCCTATATCAATAGATTCATAGAATAAGTTAATTTTAAAATGTATTCATGTTACATTCATTCATTCCAATAGCCATTTAATAAACATATACTGAAGTTTTTGAAATCTTTGTAGAAAATTAGTAAAAAACCTTATTTTAAAGTTTAGAAATATTACCAAAGGAAGAAGAAAAAAAATGTTTGTGAGTATTTTACATTTCTATCCTAGAGACAAGTTTTCTGTGGTATAGCGTTTCAAAATAAAGCGTTTTTTCCTTGCCCATCCTAATGTATAGCGCACTTGACAATTTTAATTCATGATTGAGGTTACCAACAGAGTACTAGAAATGTAAAAAAAAAAAACTGAAATTTATATTTGTATTTTTTTCCACATTCTATAATTCATTACTTATCTTGCCATGGTAGATACATTTACGGGCTAATGTTTCCACAGTTAAAACCGTAGATCAGTACATCAATTCATATTTGTTTTCAATTTTTATTTTGTAATCGTCAATAAATAACTTTTCAAAAAGTCGTGCGGTGGTTCCGGATTTTTAATTCACTAATGTATATAAGTGTGAATGTGTTTTATATATTTTAATTTCATTTAGCTTCTCTCTATTTTTTTTCTTTTTTTTTTTTTTACCTGTGTATGTTAATTTTCTTATTTTACTTTCCACAAAACTTTTTCTTTTATCTCTATTTTAGTTATCATTTGTATGTATATATTTTGTGAATGTTTAATGTAGCCCTAATATTAATGCCCTCCAATGCGGCAGAATGTATTCATTTCAATGCAAGTCTTGCTTACGTCCTCATCAGGACCAATTCTAAGGCTCTGTTGTGACTGAGGTTGTTTTACCCACATCTGGGGCATCATTGTTCTCCACGAGGAGTGCCGTCAACCACATCAACAACTGCAATAAGTTGGAAGGGAAATAAGGCCGGGCGGAGGTGATATACTTTTGATTTCATCATTAACATTATAAGGTGAGTGGAGCCCCCCTTAAAGGACATTTTAGACCCCACATTATTTTTGTAATTAAATACCTCACCTTGAGGCTGAACTTTTATTTCTACAGTACTTTATGCCAACTTTATTAAGAACTGTCATAGTGTAGTGGATAGTGCACTAACTATAATGGTGAAGATTTCCAGTTCAATACCTGTTTCACTATAACTCTTTTTTTTAATTTTCACTATTAAAAAATATAATTTAAATTTATATACATATATATAAATATTTATGTAATGCATCTTTATAGTTTTACATTAATTCAACATTTAACTTGAATTAATTTGTATTATATAATTTTAATGGATTGAAACACACATAAAACATTTTAAATCTAATTCTAAGATTTCTTCTTTTTTTGTTATTAAATGTTCTTTAGGATAATTTTGTTTTTATTATTATTCATTTATATCAGAAGAAATATTTTAAATTTATTAATATGTTATCATGTATTATATCATTTATTATTTCAATACAATAGTAATTACTGCTGTTCGGTATTTAGTTTTTCCTTTTATAATATTTTTTTTATTACTAAGATTAGCAAGGCACCAGTGGCTATAGATAGGTTGTGCAGGATTGGTATTTACTTTTTAGAATACCCACTGCCGCCACAATAGGAAATCATATTTTAAGTTGGTATATACTGTTTTCACTTTTCATTTGTTTCCTCGATTAAGCAACTATTATTTGTATTCTATTCCTAGCTCAATAATTATTTTCGGAAATAAAAATAAAATTTATATTTCGATATTCGGTACGTAATAATGTAAACACTATAGATAAGTTGGTTCAAGTTGTTATTTATATTTATTTAATAAAAATTGGTTCGGACGCTAATTTCGGCATTCCATCTACGTTTAATCGATGTGATCTTGGCACAATTTCTTATGGATGATTTATACCGGATGCTTTCTATATATCTTTTAGTTCTACAATAAAGATTTATACTACTAATATTAATACTAATAGATAAGCGAACTAATATTTTTACATTTGGTTACTTCAATTGTTAAATTGTATCACAATATCTATACCTGCAGCCAAATATGTTACATCTTGGGATTAAATAATAACCTAATGACCAAAATAAGATGACTTATTTATTTTTAGTTTTATCATAAACTCTTCCACAACAGAAAGAACAGTATCACTTTAACCGCACATGAATATTACTAAAAGTTATACTAGATTCAACATTTTGCTCTTATAGACGAACCTCTCTTTAACCATTAAGCCAAAAATAGGGAAGATACGATGACAAGTTGTCCAGGAATCCTTTTGGGATATTGGTATGTAGTTTAAGAATCAGCCTTAAATTCTTAAATTAATAAAGAATTTCCTTTTAAATGTTGAAATCAAAATTGTTAACTATGGTTGTCATCTATTTAGGCGCTTCACTAAATCCGCTGCTCTATTTGACTTTTTAAGATAATAAAATACGCCAACTCACCAATCATTGCTAAGACGACCGTAGCAAAGTAAAAGGCCCCAGCAAATTTCCATTGTGGCCCTGCTTTATGCGGTTTGTTTTCTATAATAACGATTTCAATCATTTTATAGTCTTCGTTTGTTATGTTATACTTTTTTAGAATGCCATCCCTGAGAGCTAAAACATCAAAATTTTTAAAAAAATTATTGTATGTTTTTTTCTACTGAAGTTACAAAAAGATATCTTACCGGACAGGAACTCCCATCGCATTCTTTCATTTTCAGACTCCAAGGCATCGAAGACTGCTGCACCAATGAGTAGATAGGTGAACGTACAAACCACTAACGAAAGTGTTCTGACATTCTGTCGCTTCATTCTACCTATCTGAAACTGCAGAGTTTACAAATTTAATCATCATCTATAACGAATTGCAACTAGAGAGAGTTATGCTTAAATTATTGAATTACACATGGGTCATTTACTAATACAATGCAACAACATTTTTTTTTCTCTTGTATTTGTTCATAATTGTTATTCCAAAGGCATTCCGTTCCCTAGAATAAAGTTTATTTTTTCATATATCTATCTAACAACTCAAGATTCACAATTTTAAACAAAATTGCATTTGTAATAGAATAATTGGCCACCGGAATGTAGGTAAAGAAATTAAGTTTTGATTTATGTAAATGATATTAAAGAATAAATGGCTAAAAATGTAAAACTATCAGTTTATGCGGACGATATAACAATTTGGAATAAATCCTCTTCAATACTAGCTGCCAAATACAGAATCCAAACTGCAATGGATGCACTTTTTTCATGGGCCGATATCAGAAGCAGATATCAAAATAAATAAAAATAAGACACACTACACGACATCAGTCTGTCCACAAGTATCCCGGATACCCATAATATATATATATATATATATATATATATATAATATATATATATATATATATATATATATATATATATATATATATATATATATATATATAAACTTACGATTAGACTGAAAGACTAATCTATTTATAAATAAATAATAATTTATAAATTTATTATTTACTTCATCCAATATATATAGCAACGGTTTGTTTTCATATACAATGCTTTGTTAATCCCACTAGTAACATAGTTCCTATTATTGTTTATGGCTTATACACAGCTAACTTATATATATATATATATATATATATACCGGGAAGTTATCCTTGGTGAGGCGTTGGTTGCCTAATTTCAGATTGAGGGTATCCGGGATATTTATGGACGGACTGAAGATAATGTAGTGTGTCTTATTTGTATTCATTTTGATATACAATTTTTCTCTCCGAAATTTCACCTTCCTCGAAGCCTGGAAAAGAGCCATTGTACGACCGATGAAAAAAGTACCTACTCCTTCCTCAGTTTCCGACTTCAGATCCATCTTCATTTTATGGAATCTATACAGGCCACTGGAAAGAATAGGTCACTCTCAGTTTAACAACTTTCTTGATTAAAACCGTCTTCTCAATCCATTACAATCTGGTTTTCGTTCCAATTATTCCACCCAATCGGCTTTGCTAAAGATTATCCAAGACCTAGAAACCTCCAGAGATAAACAAGCAATTTCTATCCTAATCCTAACCCGAAAATCCACCAGATAGCAGTCCTTAAACAGCTCCTAAGATTCCACTTAGACTACTTGCTTGGTGTATGGCGGGCTGTCTGAAATACTGGAGGTAAAATTGAAGAGACTTATGAACTGTTTTATAAGATTCAACTTGGAATTCCGAGTTGAAGTGGCTCTATCCTACTTCCCGACGACAATTCCTTCTTGGTGCTTTATTTTTCGAGCTCCTAAGAACCAAAAATCCTCCCTATATCATGGAACTCCTCCCTCTACGTTCCTCTATCTACTCTCTTAACACTAGATCTCAACCTATTGATTTGTATATCTACTTGTATTCTTCTCATAAAACTACATCCTTCAGCAAATCCTTTGCCATTCGTGCTACCTCCTTCTGGAATTCTTTATCTATCACCAAAAAAAGATGAAGGAACAACCAAATTCTCTGAAATAAAAACAAGTGTCATTAGAAATTATTTGGCCGAACGAAAATGAAGATGAAGATAGTATTTCAAGGAGCTGCTAGGAAAGGGTCTGACAGTGGTGCAAATCGGATGAAATTAAGGGGACTGTGAAGGTTTATTCTGGTGAAAAAGATTTTATTTTCGATTGCTACCCAAGTCGCACATTAGGACTATCTCCACTTTGAAGCAGGTTATAGAGATGTCCATCGAGATAGGGAAATAGCTCTCCTTCCGTTTAATATATTTGTAAAAGATCTTTGAAGGAATCAGAAAGGAGAACATAGAACGAGCTCTTCGGAAACACAAGTTGATATTGGCACAATCCAAGGTGTGAGGTACTAAGTAGATAGAGAGCTACTTTCCTTTCTCAATGGACTTCTCTATAATCTGCCTTATAGTGAAGATAGTCCAATCTGCAACTTGAGTTTATGAATCCACATCATTCAGGCAATCGACAATAATTCTTATTCCTAGCTCTATGATTTTTGAGTAGAACTTCTTTTTCATCATGAACAGGGATATATCTCGATGGGTATTACATTTTTTGTGAACAGACACAATTATAGTCCTATGGTATCATTGTCTAATGGAATATTAGATTGAATACATGGAGAAATATATCTTCACCTTTGTTGCCTGTGTACGCACAGCATTTCAAGTTACCTCATCTAGACCTGCTGACTTGTCAATTGTTTCCTACAATTCTTCCTTGCTGATAAAATCGAGTTCACCAGAATAAACGTACATCGTCTCCTTAATCTCATTCGAACTGCACCAGCTTCTTGCCCTCTGCTAGCAGCTCCTTGAAATAATCTCTTCATCTGTCTACTGTATATTCGTTTAGCCAAATAATGGATAATAATACGTTTCCTGTTCAGAGATTTTGGAGATTCATTTCTTGTTCCCTTAATGTATTTTTCCAAATTTTAGTATCGTGCTTTCCCTTATTTTGAGAACAAATACTAACAATTAGTTTCGGTTACCAAGGGGAACATTTGGCTTTACTGTTTCCATCATTCTTTGTGCAAAGAGAATAAAGCATTTATTATTAAAATTACCTAATCGTTTATGATATGGCTCGACTACACGACAAAATAAAAAGATGACATTATTTCTTTATTAATGACTATTCATTATGTATAGATAAGTATACATTTTAGTTGACTAAACAGATATTAATATGACTTATTTTTTTCCGGGAAACTCCTTCTCATAAAAAAAAAAAATGTTAAATTAAAAAATTTATGTACAAAAAATCAAGATATTCAGTGAAGTATTTTTGGATTAAGTTTTGCTATTACAATTATATAATTTTTGTGATAAAGGCCTTCTTGAACATCCTTCGTATAGAATAAAAATAAAATAAAATAAATAATTATATAATTATTTTTGACAATTAAGTTATTGCATTAATTTTTTTTGTTAATACAATAAAAAAAATATGCCAAAAACGTTATTATAGCTCTATAACTAAGCCATTTATACATACTGAAAGAGGTGACAGAGGACTGTAGGCGCCTAAGCCGGCACCGCTAAGTACTATACGCCGGTAAGGCAATTTTGTTTTCATGTAGTATTATTTTCTACTACATGAAATGACTACCCAGCTTTGATAAACGTCTAATTATAACGAAATTAAGCTAAATGCTGCTTCTGAGTGACCAAAAAACTAACTCAGGTCAAAGTGATCAGTCTGCCATGGTCGGACGACAAATTGGGGCAGTGCGTTCACTTCTTTGTGGGAACATTGGCTTTTTTTTTAATAACTAGTTACAAGAAACACAACGTCATGCAATTTATAGTGATGTGGTGAAGGGAAGGAGGGGAGGGGGGACTGCTCTGTAGAGCGGTCTGGCTTACCACTACTACTACTATCTACCTGTGTGAAATAGAGTTTCAAGTGATTCTTTAAGTACTGTTAAATGTAATTACACGGACAATAATACTTTTAGAGGTAATTATTAAATATGCTTTTCATAAGAAATGGTTATATTTTACGATTTTGTTTGGGAGGGGGCTTCAGCCCGAAAGCCCCCTGCCTCCGTTGATCCGCCTGTGCTACACCCTATATATTTCATATAGAAGTGAAAGTATAAATAAATCAAAGCTTCGAAATATATTTTGCTCAAAACACGGATACTTTCAGGCAAAAGGATATCAAATAACATTGTTTTTTTATAGAACTTAAGGTGAATTTCAACTTATTTCGTAATAAACCTCAACTTAATTATTGTTGACTTAAATCTTTTTTTTTTTAAATATATTTTATTGCGTATTAATACAGTCTACCACACTGAAGAGCATTGGTACTAGGGCTATAGTTTTCATTCACACAATATGTACATAAGATAGGAAAATAAAGAAAATTAACCAAGTAAGAAAAAAGAAATATAAATACAAATAAAAAGATAAAGTAATATACAAGGTAATTAAAATAACAGATTAAAGCCGAATGATAATAAAATAAATAAAACACATTCACACCTATGTACAATATATAAAAGCTTATTAAACAAGGAAGTTTTTCAGAACTCAGCTTAGTTTAGCCGATCAAAACATTTAAGGTTCAACCGTGAAGAACTCTACTTTCATTTCAATTTTATTTTATTTTTTTACTGTGAAGAAATATTAATTGCTTAAATTAAATATTTTTTAGTTATCTCTTCCTATTAAAAAAAAAGGCACTTACTTAAAAAAACACAAAACTTATGTTTCCTACTTTTTCGCGGAAAATTGGACCATTGTTTATATTAAGTTTATTGCAGCACTTGAGGTCTTCTATACCACTTTAGATACTTTCCTCTATTTACCCTGTATAGGAAAAGGCGGGGTTCCATTGGTGAATTTAATATTTGACGAGTGCCCGAGAAAATTTGTCCTTGGGGCCCTTGGTTCTCTCTATGGCCCAATCCATCCCACTGTAGGCCTAATCTCGTATGATATTAACTGGCAGACTGATAGACGGGAACAAGAAATAATATAATGTAATACAAATATCGAAACACAACTATGAGAGGAAGATACCTTCAGTTATTATATCCGTTGTTCGCTTTTAGGCACCAAAACATTTACATTAACCTCGCCTTTAAGAAAATAGCCACATGAAGTCAGGGATTGTTTTTTTATTGATTCCAACTCAATGGTTCCATAATTCCTGGAAAAAAAAAGATATTTGAAGAATTAAAAAAATGTATGATTTCATAAATTCATGAATAAAGTTTTATATAAACAGAACATTGATTATTTGGTAGAATATTTCATTTTTGGAATCGGTCTATACCCCTGGAAAATAATGATAGTCG